TAATTAAAAAAATATGAATAAAATTTACTAATAAAACTTTGTCTTTCATCATTGATGACTTTAATAGTTATTTTTTTCACTTGTAATGAAATACAATTAACCATATTACGGCTATACATTAAATTAGTTTCATAAAGGTCTTTATTAAGAAAATAATAAATTTCAAATAAATTATTTGATGTTAAAGTACGATTACGAACATGATTCAAACAAGTAAATGAGGTAGATGTAGCTAATATATCATATTCAATTAATAATTTTAATGGTTTATGTTTTTGATGTAATTTATCTAACTCACTTAAGTTAAAAATATATGATATGCCGTTATTGATAATATTTTTCATATTGATATTATCAATTTCAAAATATTGTGAATTCTTTAGTTTGTAAGACTTATACACTGGTTTAAATTTATTAATATAATTTTAAATAATATTATTTTTCTTTATTTTTAATAATCTAACATCACCTAAATTATAAGATAATACAAGGTTTTTAATGTCTAATGGTAAATCATAAAATATCATATAATATTAATATATTTACTTATTTAATTAGTAATTTTCAAATAACGTGAGAAGTTTTTCATAAAGATACGGTTAGGGTCTTTTTGGAGAAGGTTAATATATAAAAAGCTATGCGGTTCATCAGTTGCAGTCTCATATATTTTATAAATTAGTTTCTTGCTTTCTAGTAAATTATCACTTCTAACAATTGCTGATAATTCATCTTGTAATATTTCTATCTCTTTAAAATTTCTAACTTTATAATAAAACAAATGACTTATATTTACTCTAATAATTGGTGGGACACTTGATGATTTCTGAAGACTGACAAGCGTTGATATTCCACTATGACGACCTCTACAAAATAAAGAATTTAACAATTTGTTATTTCTTGTTATTGCTGGATTATCAGATACATCATCCAATATAACTAATATATTAAATAACTTCTTCATTCCTTGTTTTTTCTGATATTCAATTATTTTATTTTGAGTTTCTATAACTCTTTCTAAATCTTCAACATTGAACTCATCCCACCAACACGGTTCTTTATCAGTATCTACTTTCAAACCTTCTTTAATGTTTTTTTTTGACAGGCAACCAAATACTATCCAAATTTACAGATGGGGACCAGATAAAAATTCTTTCGTATGCACCTCTATAAATATCAAGTATCATTGATACAAGTAGGGTGCTCTTTCCAGAACCAGACGGCTACAATCATAGCTCTCATAGGCAATTTAGGGACAACCTCGTGCTTACTTTGTTTAAAGTCATATTTGATTTCATCAATTGGTTTTACATCAGGCATAATAAAAATAATATTATAAATACTTATAAAATAAAAAATATAATATAATTATATCATAATGGCTATAGAATCTATTAATTTAAGTGAAGTGGCTAGTATTCGGAGGATATATAAATTTGGTGATATCTTAGTTCCAGATACTGAACAAATATATTATGATACAATGTTATACTTTTTATCTGCAATTAAAAAACAAAATATCGTAGTATCCAAGTCCTCAATTGAAAATGACAATAACCTAGATTTTAATTTTAGAAAGTTAGTAAATTTTATGAAAGATTATCCCGATATGTATACAAATGAAATGATAAGTAGTGTACAAGAAGTTATTGATATTAATATTAGAGATGTTAGTCTATCAACTGCAATAAAACTTACTAAAGAAAATAGTTTAAATACATATTCTATTTAATATTAATGGAACATCTTTTTTATGATATGCTGGCAGTGAATATCATAAAAATGGAACAGGCTTTCCATTGTTTTCAATCAATAAGCATTGAAGCTAATTAGTTTTGTGTCTTGCTCGCGTGTGCAATGAAAACCCCAAGTGCTGTGCCCCACCAATATTCTATTATGCATGAAAATAATAAGATTAAATAACTATTTTATCTTATTATTTATATGAATAGGAGTTATTCAGATTATATTGATATAATAAATGAAGTAGAAAATATAGAACGGGTTGTTATAACTAATAATAGATTCAAAAAAATATGTTATTTTATTTTAGAATTAATTAAGTTTGTGATACAATATATCAAAAATAAAAATGTGAATATTAATATAAATGCCTCCAAAGAAGAAGCAAGAGAAACAAAAAGAGATTGAATGTGTCAAATGCGATAAATGCGGTCAAGCAATTAAACAACTAAATGAATTAGAGTTAGATAAAGAACATGTCAAAGTTAAATGTTGGCCGTGTTCATGTGGTCGAAACATGCATACAGTTCATACAGTAAAAAAGAAAGATGCTGACGGTAGCACAGTTGAAGAAAGTTGGGTAGAAAACTTCAAAAGTGGATTTGGTAGGTTATTTACACCTGAGAAAGAATGATGAAAAAATAATAGTTAAAATTATTTCTATTATTATTTATAATGCAAGATGTTATAAATAATATTATTAAATTCATTGATGTAAAAGAATTGAAATTAAATAATTTTATTGAAGAATATAACGAAAATGATATATTAATTAATTTTGTTAATGACTTTAGAAATAGTAAAATTGATTTTAACATGTTTTATAATTCTGTTAATTATGCTGATTTATTTGAACAATCAGATTTAAAATTCTATTGTAAAAGAATATATTCATATACTTTAAGATTTATTGCTAATTATGATAATAAAAATGCTATTCAGTTTTATGAAATTACATTGAGAAAAATTAATAATATTTACAAAAATAGTAACATTAATGTTGTTAATGTGTTTGAATGTATTAAATGTTTAATAATTTATATTACAGATAATATTGAAAAGTTTCATAAATATTCAAAATTTAGAAAAACTATTATTTGTAATTTAATTGGTAAATTGAATAATAATTTAACGAGTTACACAATAACTAATTTTGAATTGACTTATAATGATATATGATTTTGTAAAATAAAAGTTTAGTTTTAAAAGTTTTATTTTATAATATAATATATATATTTACATGGATGAAGGATTAGAAAAGATTGTTAAAAAACTGAACAAGGTTTTAGAACAGAATAAGAATATTTTAGAAATCTTACAAGAAATGGAAAAGAAGAAACCTTTAACAAACAGTTATCAAAGTAAGGAAGTAGATCGAACCAATGGTGAATATAAAAATAAAAGAAATATTTATTTAAACAAACTTAATAACAAAGAAATTAAAGAACCGAAGGCTTCAACTATGACATTTTATCAAATTGACTATGATGAAGATACGGGGGTTTATTCATAGATAATAATCCAACGACAAAACAGCATGTTTTTCTTGAAATTAGGTGGGGTTCCCCCTTTTTTGGGGCGACTGTTCCCCCTTTTTTGGGGCGACTGTTCCCCCTTTTTTGGGGCGACTGTTCCCCCTTTTTTGGGGCGACTGTTCCCCCTTTTTTGGGGCGACTGTTCCCCCTTTTTTGGGGCGACTGTTCCCCCTTTTTTGGGGCGACTGTTCCCCCTTTTTTGGGGCGACTGTTCCCCCTTTTTTGGGGCGACTGTCCCCCCTTTTTTGGGGCGACTGTTCCCCCTTTTTTGGGGCGACTGTTCCCCCTTTTTTGGGGCGACTGTTCCCCCTTTTTTGGGGCGACTGTCCCCCCTTTTTTGGGGCGACTGTTCCCCCTTTTTTGGGGCGACTGTTCCCCCTTTTTTGGGGCGACTGTCCCCCCTTTTTTGGGGCGACTGTTCCCCCTTTTTTGGGGCGACTGTTCCCCCTTTTTTGGGGCGACTGTTCCCCCTTTTTTGGGGCGACTGCTGTTTATTTATATTATGTTATTATAATATAAATTAACATTGTAAAATCGTATATGTTATAATTATACTAAACTTATGGTTTGTTTCTTAATTTTACTTAATGCCTTAAAAATGACTTAAAGAAATAGTGCCTGAATATAATAAGAGGAAAATGAACGGTGATAAAATCAATAATTATATCAATAAAAAATGCTATGATTGTTGTCACTTCAAAAAAGAAAATATGGAATTGTATAAATTGAATTTACCTAATGAAACAGTGAATAATATTATTAATTATTCAATGGATGAAAAAGACCAATGTGAAAATTGTCAGGAATGGAGAGATAATCAATTTTTAATCAAATGTCTGTTGAGAATAAAAGGAAGACATAATAGAAATGTAGAAGATGAGATTTTAATATTTCTAACTGTAAATAAAATACCACCTTATGATTATGTTAAACAGTTTCTTAAAATCAGTAAGAAAAAATATGAAATGATTTATGATATATTATGGATGTTGGGCTATAGTCAAGAGAAAGGACAAAATGTTAAAGAAAATATCAAATTATTTATTGAAAGTAAAAAGTTTAATATTCAAAATACATTGAGAGATATTAATATTATTTTTAGAATGATGTATGAAAGAAGAAAGATTTGTCAATTAAATTATTATCCTGTACTGAAATTATAATCATACTATAATAATAACATGTAAAATTTTATATGTTATAATTATACTGTACTTATAGTTTGTAAAGATTGAAATATTTTATTTTTTCTTGATTTGGCTATCTCTTTCAAAGTGCGTTGTTTGAACTTGGTATGCTCTTTTGATTTTTTCGTGCTTTGGCTGTTTGTATTTTATTTTGTTTGATACTCTTCTGATATTTTTTGTTGGTATGTTGCTTTGTTTTTGTTGATGTGTGTTTTTGAGTTTGTGTTCTTTGATGGTTTTTATTTTTGTTGTTTTGTTGGTATGCTTGTTTGAATTATTTAATGTGTTATGCTTTGATTAAATATTTTGTTGGGGGTTGTTCTGGTTTTTGAGTTGCTTGGTGGTTCTTATCTTGTTTTCTGTGAATTTTGCTGATTTGTGTTTATGCTGTTTGATTATTTGGTTTTATTCTTAGAAGTGCCGTTTTATGTATTTTTCCCCCACCCCACCCCCATCCCCACCCCACCCCACCCAACCCCCACCATCCGCAAATATCAGCGCCGCGGCTCGACGCCGCGACTCGCGACATCCGAGGCGCTGCGACCCCAAAGCCGCCGCAGTGGAAGCGCGGGCGCCAGGGGAAGCTGCGCTGAAGCTCCGGCGTGTCGCCTCAGATGGGCGGAACGCGGTGGGCTTTTCCCTCTCTGTGGGAACTGCTTACATTGATGCGTGCAGAAATCTTATTGCAAGAAAAAGGACTTACATGCATATATGCATGCAATGGTTCACATTGTGCGTGATGTGTG